ATTTTGGCGACGGGATTATGCGGTTGGTCTGTCTTTTTCTCTCTTACGATTGCCCTTTCTGAGGTACTGAGGTATGATGAGAATGGTAGGAAGGGGAAAGGGGGAGTTCCTCGGCTTGGGGGTATAGTTTGGGAATGACGATGGGTAGGAAGCGAGTGCTTCGAGGGGATCGAAATACCGCTCGCGAGAGTCGGATCGTGAAGCCCAGCGCTCTGTCCAAGTTTTCTTGGGCAGGCTGTACGGGAGATCGTGCTTTTTGGCGCCGTCTGATCCCAGGGCAGGACGAATGCTTAAGAAACTCAAGAAATTTCGAGAAACGGGTCCTTGATGGTCTTGGTATCCTCTTCCGAAGAAGCAGCAGCAGCAGCCGGGATATAACCCCGAATCACGTCATCAACATACCCCCGCGGCAACCCAAACCTCTCCGTCGCCTCGTCGACGCCGCGGTTCATCCGGTCGACGTACTCGGCCCGCGGCGTCGAGGGTTCCGTCCTCTCGGTGTCGACGTAGACTAGTGCCGTGACGTTGCTGCCCGGTGTGAGACCGGCGGCAGCCGAAGTGGCGCCGGTGCCTTTGGAGGCGAGGTTCGCGATGCTGACGGCGAGGTCTTGTTTTTGGTAGGCGTGGGGCACGCCTTCGCATCTGTCGAGGGTTGCTTCGTCTTGGGGCGGGAGGGCGTAGAGGACGCCGTAGACGCCTGGAGCCGCTGAGGGCGGAGCCGAGGGTGGAGGAGGCGCGGAAGCTGAGGCCGGGTCCGTGGTCGGTGCGGCGGCGGCGTCGGCGTCGGCGAGGTACGCGGGATTTATGGGGCCGTTGGGGACGACGTTGGCGTAGCGGCGGGCGTTTATGATGAATGTGTGATCTGGGAGGTGGGCTAGGCCGAGGGGTGTGGAGGCGGGGCAGCGGAGGGACATTTGGGTTGGGGAGAGGTTGGAGCCGTAGGCGAAGTAGAGGCGAGGGGGGTCCGATGAGGCCATATCGTTCGTCGGCTGTGACTGAGATGGTGTCCGAGATGTTGTGGTTGGGATGTCGGCGAGCGTCGGTCTTTCTGACTAGTGAGTTGGGCTTGAGGGTTCCTTGGTAGTTTGGGCTGCTTGCGTATCGTGTTTTTCTTTTCTCTTCTCTTCTTATATTCTCCCAAGAAGGTAATCGCTAATGGAGTACAAATTGGTATCGATTTGGATGTTGCAAGTGGGAGGTGATGAGCGTCCCCAATTTATGGCGAGATGGCTGAGACTTAGGCAGCTAGCACGCCACAGGTCGATGCTCGATGGTCTCAGATGCGGATGCGAGGTGGGGGGAAAGAGGACACTGGAGGATTCGACCTGCCTAACTTCATGTAAGCCATCACACTGGTCTTGTTTTTTTGACGAAACCTTTTCGTTTCCACTGTTGCCTGCAATCGCAGTCCTTGATTCTCATTTCACAGACTTGTTTCTATTCTGAGTTTCCGGTTCGGAAATTGCTACAGTTAGACATACCTCTACGGAGTTTTGGGGGAGCACCTAAATCAGCCCAGTTCCGGGCCGAAAGTGGGACCGGAGACACGGCACGGCACGGTTTTAGCGGCATGAGTGCCTTACATCTTCATTAAAGCATTATCTACTAGTATGTATCCGTACATCACTCATAGAGCCTCCTCTCTCATTTTCATGCATAATTTCGTCAACGTCAGAAACGAGAGTCCTTTGACCTATGACGAAGCAATGATCTCGGCAGCCTGCTCGGCGAGGGCGTACACCGCGGCCTGGATGTGAGCCGTGATGATTGTCGGGAACACGGAAGCGTCCACGACACGGAGGTTGCTGACACCCTTGACCCGCAGATCACTGTCGACGACTTTGCCCATGGCGCATGTGCCCATAGGGTGGTATGTGCCACTAGAAGACAACCTGTTAGTTTCGAGGGCTGGGACGTACAGCACATCCAAAGGTCAGGTAGTTCACTTACATGACGGAAGCACGGATGCGCTCCTCAATCACCTCGTCCGTCGACTCGAGCGTAAACGCCTTCAGACCTTCCGCTGGCGCTTCAGCCTCGACGATCCCCTGGCTCAGAGGCGACTCGCCGCCGATCATCATCCGCGTCATCCGGCGGATCGAGTCGCGCCACACGAACCGGTCAACCTCGGAAGCGAAGAAGTTGGGGTCGATGAGCGGGGCCTCACTCGGGTCCGCGGAGGCGAGCGTCACGGAGCCGCGGCTTGTGGGGTGCAGGCCGACGTTGGCCGTCGTGAGGTAGGTGCTGTTGGAAGGGAGCGCCGGGTTCGTGTTGACGTAGAGCACGAACCCCTCCATGAGGGTGCGCTCGTTCTTGAGGAGCGGGTGCGTCGCCGGGTCGGGTGCGGCGCCCTCTTCTTTGGTGATGGCGGCGACGAGGCCGTCCTGGTCTTCCACGCCAAAGGAGGCGACAAAGTTGTTGGGCTGACCGAGGCCGTACTGCGGCTGGAAGAAGAGGGTGTTGCCTGAATCGACGGTCGAGTTGCGGTACTGCGGGGAGAGGCGCCAGTTGTAGGTGAAGAAGGGGTGGTCGGCAAAGTTCTTGCCGACCTCGGGCGCGTCGAGCTTAGTTTCGATACCGTGCTTGGCGAGTTCGTCGGACGGGCCGATGCCGGATAGCATCAGGAGTTGCGGCGTGCGGTAGGCGCCGGCGGCGGCGATGACCTCCTTGCCGAGGATCTCCGTGCCGTTGGCGAGGCGGACGCCGGTGGCGACAAGGGTACCGGTGCTTGAGCTGTTGTCACTGCGGAGGAGTATCTTCTCGACGAGCGTATCTGTCATGACCGTGACGCCGTCGAGGGGGTAGTACTCTGACGCGATCTGACGGACGCCGTTGCGGCGGTTCTCTGCAATCTCGCCAAAGCCGAGGTTCTGTCCGGCGTTGGCGTCCAGGCCCAGGAGAGCCTTGACGCCGACGGACTCGTACGAGGCGTAGACGGCGTCTCTGAGGGGGTAGACGCGGCCCGTGACCGAGGGTACCTCGACCTTGAGGGGTCCGTCGTACCCATGCTCGTCGGCGTTGACGTCGGTCCAGTAGGCCTCGGACCGCTTGAAGAACGGCAGCTGGCTGTCGTAGCTCCAACGGGAATCGTTGGCCAGTTCGGCCCACTCGTCATAGTCGACGCGGGCACCACGCATCCATCCACCTCAACAAGGGGTCAGTATTTTCGGATGCACTTTTTACCACAGAACAAACTTTGGGGAGTTGACTTACATGTGTTGATGAGGGAGCCGCCGCCGAGACCCTTCCCAGCAGCGCTCTGAATCGTGCGGCCGTTGAGCTGAGATTGCGGCGTGGAGTAGTAGTTCCAGTCAAAGTCCCCCGCGATCAGGTTGGTCGAGTTGACGTAGAGAATGTCCGTCCGGCCAGCAGCACTGGAACCGGCCTCGATGACGAGAATCTTGGCCGTGTTGTTAAGCGCCAACAGCCGGCTCGAGACGACGGAGCCGGCGAGGCCGCCTCCGACGACAATGTAGTCCCAGACGTCGGTTGGCAGCATGATTTCCTGATTTGTGTGTCGTTATGCAGGGCAGCGGCACGTAAAACAGGATTCGACGCAAAGATTCTGAAAAGGGAATACTTGGCGCAAGTTGTGATTGATGCTGCAGATCGGGAACCGGGAGGCTGGGACTGCAGAGTGTGTGACGAGCCGTTGCAGAATGCAATGCAGAGAGAATCGGGCGTAGTAGAGGGACGAAGAGAGAAGACCTCACACACTCGAACCGGACAGACGCCGCAGCCGCTTCTCTTTTAAGAGCAGACGCATCGGGAGATATCACGCACATATCGCCCGTCAGCTTCGTCCTCCGAGGCTCCGTTCTGCGGCCGTTGCGGAGACTTTTGCCATGTGGAACTCGGCGCAATTTTGGATATTTCGATATCGCAAGAAGAAAATGGCCAGGGCCAGAAGGTGGCTCGGGTACGGCGGGTGAGCGACATCGACAGATCAAGAGGTTCTCCCCCATTGCCCTCCCGTTGAAGGGGATCCACCAATATTCCTCCTCCACGGGGAACCTTTCCGGGCCAAGCTCTGTCGTTATCCTCTGACCAGGTTCCTGACTAGTTGACAGAGGCCTCTGAGTGGGCTCATCAGTCGATTGAGTGGTGTTGGATGTTCAAGGATCCGGAGTTGTGGGGTTTCTTTCGGACCAGGTTACCGAATGCAGAGACGACTTGTTCTGCGGTCCGTCATCCCCTGTTCCCTACGACGCGGTCCGCGGATAGGGTTAATGTGATGATGGGACTTGGCTGGTCGATCGACGTAAACTGAGTTTACGATATGCAATGGGTCTACGGAGTACTGCAACTCTATGGAAGCCGTAAGCATATTCCGACTTCGTCAGCGGACAGACAGAACTAACGTCTGTTATGCTTGTTTTCCAAACGTAGTCTCGTTGGTTTGAGATAACTCGACATAGCCGTCTTCTTCACCTGGATTAGCGCGGCTCCATAGCACTTTTGGAGCGGGCCCTATTTCAATATCCCAGCTTCATGCAGAGTGCAAGCACAGGAAGTCCGAGAGACTCTCGATCTTTGTATCGCAAAATCGTATCACCATGTGGGAATTTTCGCGCCCCGTCTACATGGTAGACCTCTTGCGTTATCATGAATTTGTGATATCTCATCATTGCCACGCGGGATCCCAGTGCGCCCGCCTCCCGCATGGCCCATCGGCCGGTGAGCCATGACCATAACCTGGGTTGGTTTCGGGGGTGCCTAAGACGAGGCCTGTTGGACGCCCCTGTCAAGTAGGCCTTTGCTTTTTTTTTTCACCCCTTCGTACGGCTAGAACCTGTGTCTTGACTCGATCATGCATATGTTCTGTTCGCTTGAAGAATGTGGATCACTCGCTGTGCCGTTGCGGAAAGGAGGTTGACGGATATGTTAAGCCATTAGGCTCCCCCGTTCCGTCTGGTGCGGCGTCTGCGGTATTAGTTGAAGACTAGATCTCCAGCCACCATATTCGCCCTGTCGTGCGAGACGACACCCGACACGAATCCATGATGAGAATCAGCGGTGCGCTCTTTGCTCGTCTAGCCGTACCGACAAACGCTACCGTCCAACCAGAGGATGTTATCCAGACCGAGATCGTGCCCCTTTCCGACAGAGCGGTTCCCATTGTCGTCGTCAATGTGCTACTGACGTTTGCCACAACACTATGGACGGGTATGCGGTTATACAGTCGGCGGAAGAAGGGACAGTCATTTACCATTGAGGATTTCTTGACTGTTGTTGCTCTGGTAGGACACGACGTGGTTGCAAGTCGTATTTCAGGTGTATTGACAACATAGTAGATCGCCTTCTATGGGCTAGTGGCCTGCAATTTTGTTAGTGAGTTGGACCACAAAGTCCTGCAGAGCTGGACTATACTAAAAGGTGGTTCTAGTGGTCTATCTCGGAGGAACTGGGCATCACTACTTGACCCTCCAGCCATATCACGTCGAACGCATGTCAAAGGTCAGCCTATAAAGATATCCCCGTGTTGCCCCTGATCTCTTTTCTGTTGCCTCTCCTGAGAACCTCGACTAACAACACGCCTCTCGGGGAGAAAACAGGCCGCATACGGTGTTCAAACCCTCTTCGCCATCTGCCTCGGCTTCATCAAGATCGGCATCACCCTCATGCTCCAGCGCGTATTCTTCGTCCAGGGTTTCAAGATCGCGGCCCGCATCACCACGGGCCTCTGCGTCTGCTGGATGCTCTTCACCATTCTCATTGGCATCTTCATCTGCCAGCCCGTGGCCATGAACTGGAACCCGGCGACGCCCGGCGGCAAGTGCGGGGACCAGAACGCCGCCTTCGCCGCCGTGGGCTACTTTGACCTCGCGACGGACCTCATCATTCTAGTGCTGCCGATACCCATGGTGTATAACCTGCAACTGCGGTGGCCGCACAAGGTGGCTTTGTACATCATCTTTGGCGCAGGCGCTCTGTAAGGGAATCCCCAGCTTCTTCATCTCGCCCTCACATTGTTGTGCCATTATATGGATAACTGACCGTGGCCTGTACGACTTTCTCCAGGACCATGATCTTCGCCGCCCTACGATTAAAGAACGTCTTGACAATGGACTTCACGGACGTGACATACTCCCAGGTCGGCGTCGTGCTGATGGGAACTCTCGAGCCCGGCGTCGCCATCATAGTCTCGAGCAGCCCCCTCCTGAAACCGATATTCGATGCCACCGTCGGCCGCTTCTGGTCCCTACGCGGCACACGCGGCGCCACAACGAGATCCGGCGGGGCAGGGGCGGCCTCTGCCAAGCCGAACACCCTCCAGACGATTGGCCAATCCGGGCTTCTCGGGTCGAAACTTTCTAGAGGCGGGGGAGGGAGGTTTAGTCAGATGCACTCGACACACAGCGACGATGATGACGATTTGGAGCTGGATAGGTTGCGAGAGAAGAGGCATAACGTGGCCGTAATGGCGGCCAGCGGGAATCCGTCGGAGGATAGCGTGGCGAGGGACTTCAAGGGGAGAGGGGACGATGCTTCGGGCTCCGAGGTTGGGATTTTGGTGACGAGCAAAACGAGTGTTGTGAGCGAGGTCAGGGGGCAAGGGTTGTGAGTTCTAGTCAATGTTCACGTCCAGATTATACTACGGCCATTTACTGCTTCACCCTGGCTGCCTGAGATATTGACGTTCGTACTGAAGCGGTGCCAACGGTACACTATATCATGGACGTCTTGAAAAGGCCTATCTGCGTGTTGAATGTTTCGAAGTGGCTTGTAGTCGTGCGAGAATGCTTCAACAGCCGTCAAGTATGACTGATGAAAAGCTGAAGGTCCGGGTACAAAGGTTCTGGGCAACAAATCCTCAGGAAGACGCAAATAACATGAAATTTGATCTATAGAAAGTCATGAATCTAGCACCGGTGATGTGCCTAGTCCTCAGGGAAGCTTTCTCGATCCCCACAGCGGGCCTCTTCTCTTCTCTTAATGAGTACAATTCCGGTTGGTGAACTTATACATAACGAAAGGGACTAACGATGTGGTCCGCGTATCGACAACTAATCAAGGCTTAGAGCAACGGATTTGTGGTTCAAGTTCCTGCTATTGAACTCAGTGCTTCCTTCAGCCATTCTTGGGCAGGGCGGTAGACGTTAGCTTCATTCAAATATATCTTGATCTTTGTACACGGTTTCAGTCAGAAGTCGTTCACTGGGTGAGGCATTCTGAACAGTTTCTTTGACATAATTGCTGTTACACAGGTCTGTAATCCATTGATGAGAAGAAGGTGTGACTTCTTCAATGTTTACCGCCATGAACAGGCATCCTTGGATCGGCAGTTGCGGACACACGCAGAGACCTTGAGGGTGCTGGATCAGGAGGAGAAGGTGGAGCCGCCTACGGGTACAGAGTGAAACTCATGATGTGACCAGTCTCGTGAGTTCGGCCAGCAGTCTCGTAAGTTCGGCCAGACAAAGCCAGACAATGATTAGATGATCGAAATACCACCGTTATTGGCGGTGGCTATTTCATGCTCGCTGAGTTCCGCTTCTATATGGTCTACTATAGGGAGAGATACGGTGGAATTTCCGTCTTTTCAGTACCTACCTATATCAACCTCTCGGTTTCATGACTGCTTTGAAGTCCTACCATGACCTTAAATAATGTCTTGCATGCAAGCAGACATGTATTCATCTAGGGAGAGAAGATGATTTGTGTGACGAGCTGCAGCACGGTTTCCTGAGTCCGCTTCCGACGACCCTCCATTACACCCGAGCCAGAGGCAACGCCATGACAAACGTCTTCCAGCCATTTGTCCATGGTAGCGCTGAATCAACCACGAGGATAGTATTCATTGCAAATGGTGACCACCTCCTGAAATTCGCTTTCAAGAAGATCTGATATGCTGGTCCTTGGCACCAAGAAGACGGCCTCGGCGGCTAATCGAAGAGAACAACAGACATGCAGCGCGGATCATCACCTTTCTGTTTGATGCTTCGTCTGGTAATCCTTGGCGTAGGCGGTTAACATTGGCTTTCTCTAATTCATTATCTGTTATCGTTCTGTGTTTTGAATATCTCTCGTGACAAACAAAAGAGGGTGGCTGTCCACAACTATGGTTTCTTTGATGCGAGGTAGTACTATCTCAACCATGTTCATCGTCAATAGCATGTGAATATCTACACTTCGGGATGCTGCTAAAAAAAAAGGTGAGGCCTTCAAAACAGCTAGGGGTTATACCTATATAAACAGCATGACATAACAGTCAAGTATTCTGTCCAGCGAGCTTTCACCACCCACGACACGACTCACAGTCCCAGACCAACACATCCGACATTTACTCGAATCGCCGCGCCTTTGCCAGAATGTTTCAGCCTCCATTCAAAGATGATTCTGTGAAGGAAACATCCGGAGATCTGCCCAGATTTCCAGAGGATTCCGGAGACAAGCCGTATGCCGGAGAAAAATGGAATTCTGTCGGGCAATTAGGCGTATGGGCACCACTACCTGCGAATGAGAAAAATTATGCACTCGAAGTCAAGCATCGCGAGAAAGACCACAGGCCAATCATGATTTTATACCTCAAAAATGACGAGAAGAATGAGTACGAACCACGAAGCTTTGCCTGGCTCGAGCCACTCCACGAGAACCCTCCAGAAACAGGAAAGGACGAAACGTACAACCATGTTTACAGCAAAAGTCTATGGCGACCCCTAGAAGAGGCAGAAGGGCCGTACAAGTTGGACACCTCGTGTCCTACTAGTGGCAGGAACATCGTAATGAAAATCGAAGCGGGAATTCTGAGGATGGCATGGATACCAGAACCGGGCAAGGATGACCCGCCGAAATGGCACGTGCTTGTGCCAGTAAACCATCCATTTCAAGACTCGGCTTTGATGCAGTTATTTAAAGGAAGTTTGGTTGTACCCTAAGACATGTACTGCCGGCGTCAAGGCAGCCTTCTCAGTTTATCGCACTCTCTTTTGGCATAGCAATAATCAACACCAAATCGTTGACCATGCCAGTAAACATGTTCTAAAGAATACGCTGTCGCTTGTGCGCTGATGATGCTAGTTCCCATGTCCCTTTGCCCATACAGTCCCTACAGTTGTTGAGTGCCCCCTTGTACTAGACACGACGGTCACGTATTACTTGACATCTATCGCGTCTATAAGTAGGCAAGGAACTTTTTCAGATGTAACGCGAGGGACATAGCTTTGCATCATCAATTCGGAGTCCACTTCTATCAAACTGAGTTCATCCTAATATAGTGGCCACAATCAGAAGCAGTGCCGTGGTGACACTAAAGATCCTTGCCAAATCACCCCCTATAGGCTTTTGGATGGGCGCTGACTCTCGGACTTGATACTTCTGAGCAAGGTGGGAGGGAACGCAAAGGGCCTGCGAAGGGCGCGAGATCTGTTCTGTTCTTGCTCCAGATCTCACAAGTGCCACGAGATATGTCATCCCGGTGACAATCCCTATGATATCGTTTTCCAGCGTTGACAAAGTTTTATTTTCGTGAAACTTTGAGCTGGCGATCTCCTTGACAGGGCAGTCCAGAGCCAGCACACGACGAGGGCGCTGATCGTGTGCCAGAGGTTTCCGCCTTGGTCTACTTGATTCCACGGGGCATTCGAGATGCTGCCCTACTCGTGAGTAAGACTACGCGTCTCTAGAACCTTTCATTCTTGGTTCAAGTGGTTACACTAGCCGTAACGGATATGCGTAGGATCGGTAGTGCGGCAGCATCTGGTATTCGCGGAGGAGACTCGAGGCAACAGGCGGAATTTCTTCAGCACGTTGCTAGTAAAACACCTCGCCCTTCATCAGCACTCGAGCCGTGCGGCGAAGATCCGCCGACACAATCTCGCCATTGTCAAATGTAGCCCCGATATCCACCTTACCGCTCGGGTGCCCAATAACGACAGACTCCTTGGCACGGCCACCAATGAGCTCCGCCGGTATCGTGCCGGGCAACTGACTAGCAGCCCCGAGACACAGCGCAAGCGTCAACGGCACAGCCTTGTGCGCCTGGCCCATGGACAGCGCAAGACACCGGATGTCTACGTCATCCGCGCGCGTCTCGGAGAAGAGCAGCACGATCTTGGGCACGCTCTCCACGTCCGGGTTCAGTCCCATCATAGACGCTCCCGCGCGCCGGATCCCGTCCAGTTTGACCTTGAGCTTGGCATCCGCCTCGACGACCTGCGGCGTGAGGTCTTCGGGCGAGGGGATGCCCAGGTCGGCGGCGCGGACAAAGACACCCGGGTTGCTGACGTCGACGAGCGAGGCCTGGATTGTGCTCGCGTCCGGGAGGAGGAGCCAGTCGCGGGGGTTCCCCGTGGGGAGGGCCTTGCCCGTCTTTGCGCCGGCGGGGTCCAGGAAGCTTAGGGTAATGGGGGAAGCGGTGCCGGGGACGCCGTCCATGGTGTAGGCGCCTTCTGGGGCGTATTTTGGTGAGCTGGTCCCGTCAACGACGACCCTGAAGCGCGATGAGATGACTTTTGATGTGTTGGTGTTGAAGATGCGTACGGTAGCGAACGTCTGGCCGTCGGCCCCTTGTTCGAGGCGCGGGTTCGGGATGAGACCTTCGTCCAAGCTCATGGGCCCCACTGCCGATGAGAGGTTTCCGCAATTACCTGCTGTGTCGAGGCTGCCATCCTTGATGCCAACTTGAACAAAAGTGTAGTCCACGTCCACGTCGGGGCGCGAGGGCGGAGACAGCACGACGATCTTGGACGTTGATGAGATGCCCGAGCCCATTCCGTTGAGCTGGCGGCCGTAAGGGTCCGGCGAGCCCATGGTGGCAGGCAATACTTTGTGCCATTCGCTTTCTAGCGGAAGGTTGTGTCTATGGATGACGAGACCGTTAGACGTTCCGCCGCGGACGAAGAGCGCGGGAAATGACCGTGATGACGAATAGGGGCGCGTCGATGACATGTTTGCGGATAGTCTGGATAGCCCGGAAGCAGCGCTCTTTGTGTTCCTCAAGAGACTGCGGTGAATTTCTTGTAGAATCATCTTTGCCAACGATTGCGACAATTGAAACAGTTTTTGTTGTAACTAGTTGATGTTGGTATTATTGAAATAGACAGTCCTTTGTGGTTGTTTTCCGCCTGAATCCTTACCCACCACACGGGAAATGTCCGTACCTGGGCCAGTTCAAGCCACACGCGGCGCGGCGTCCGTCTACAGGGGTCGTGGACCACTGAAAACCGTTAAGCACCGCCAAGCCGGAAGTAGACGAGGAGGATCCCTGCAGTGATCCTCTCCAGGGTCTCACATCTCTTCTCTGCATTATGAGTAACTCACCATATTTTTACTTGGTGAAGTACTCTATGTCATTTGGCGTGCGGTCGAGTCTCATACAAAGGGAAAATAGAGGTAAAAGAAGAGGGAATGGGAGATTTTGGCACTAATCCAGACCTCAATTGCCTGACGACAGATCGATCGGCCGAGTGATGACCGAATCGGCACCGAAGTCATACAAGTCCAAGCCACCCGGGCTTGAGGCTTGTAAGACCGTCTGAAGGCAGGCATCGCGTCCGCTTAGCTGGAGATAAGCATGGACATACCGTAATAAGCGTTTCGGGTTGCGGAAACAAGCTTAATCATGGGTTCTTGAGAATCGTCGATATATGAGATTCATATTCCCCCTCTTCCGTCTCATCTCATCTGACATCATCGCTACGGCCACGTTTTCAAACCACAACACAAGAAGCATCAATAAACTCTGATAATCATTATACTAGAAATCAAAGGATTCTCAAATCCGACAGAATGAATCCATACGTCGAAGTGACTTTGAGCTGGCTCCTCAAGAACTCCCGCGCCCACGACGCCAAATCCTTCTACACATCCCCGGCCTTCGCCTCTCATACGGAGCAGACGATCACCGTCACGTCGCCAGACTGCGGTGCGTCTCCAGCTACTTTGGGTCCGGAGTACATCACAGAAGGCGGCGGCCGTATTCCCGCGCTGTCGTGGTCCGCGCCGCTAGACCTCGAGTCAAAGGTCAAGGAGTGGCTCATCGTGGTCGAGGATCCGGATGCGCCCCTGCCGACGCCCATCTGTCACGGGTAAGTCGCACACATTTCGAAGAGAGGAAAATGCTGACTTGTCGACTGTAGTGTATACAGTGGCATTGCACCTGAGAAGAAACAGGTGAACCCCAAAGACTTTGAGATTGAGGATGAGAGCAAATCTCTGCTACAGGGAGGGTTTTACTGGGGTAAGGGGCGGAGGGAGGGTGTGTATGTTCCCCCGCGGCCCCTTATGAACCACGGTACCCACAGATGTGAGTTTTGATTTCTTTTGCATTCAGGTAGAATGGGAAGACTGACAGTCGACAGATTTCTTCCAAATTGTTGCCCTGAGCGAGCCACTGGATAGGACAATGCTGGAGGCCCGGGCTACTAGGGAGCAGGTCGCCGAAGCTATCCAGGGCAAGGTTCTGGGTTGGGGTATGTGGGTTGGAAGTTGTGAGAGGAAGTGGACGTGATATCAAGGATGAGAATTCCAACGTTTAGCGCCATTTCCTAAAGGATGATGACAAGCAATGGGAGAGTTTCTAGGTATCTTGACGAGAATATGAAACCATAGCGCTTGATGAGATCGCCGATGAAATTATGTGGTGTGAATGAAATATGACCTTCAATTGTCTTTATCAAGACGATGGTGAACCGCGTTCACATGTTGTAAAATCAGGAACGCAGAATGATCGGGCTCCAGGCTCGTGACGTCCAGACACATTTCGTTTTCATCCCCAAACTGAAAGATGGTTTCCTTCTCCCGAATCTTTCTCAGAATCTCATCGTCAGTCAACTTGGTGTTACTAGCCCCCTCACCATCTTTAGCACACCTCCGGCCTCCAAGTCTCCTGACATTCTCGTCCACGTCGCAATGTAACACGATCGAGATGAACGGCACGCCCCTTTTCTCAGCGGCCGCCTTGTAATTTTGCGCCGCTCCGCTGCCGAGAGGACCCGACTCCCGCGCGTCTGTAAAGATGAACGTCTTGTCCGCAAGCGCAGGGTGTGTGGCGATGGTGTCCAGAGCGTGTCTGCGGAATGTGGTTCTCAGATCGTTGTAGGCCTCGGCATCGTCGCGATCGAGCATGGCGGCGACGGGGTCGATTACCAGGTGGTTGTGGAAGACGCGGCTGCGTGGAATAAGTGTAGAGAGAGCGCTGGCGACGGTGAATTTGCCGACGCCCGGGTAGCCGTTGATGTAGATGAAGCAAGCCATTGGATTGTGCATAGTTCCCAAAATACGCAGATGTTCTCGGCGGCGATTTCACCAAGATGGTCAAAGTGATTATCAACCTGATTTTATCGAGGAACCCGAGAGCTTTCTCCGACTACCAGGCTTACTTCAAAACTTTCGAGGCAGTTGCGCCTTGCCTCAGTGACTCACCACAGTGAGACCAAGCTTCATACCTCCATGGCGCACCCTAAGGTGTATTGATTCAATAGGTCAATTGATGAATGGCCGTTCTACTTACCTCCTTGGCCTTGCCTACATAGTCAATGGACATTGGCATGCATCAGTCTAAAGCATATGTTCGAATGTGGCGTCTCGCTACGAGTGTATTGAGTGAGTTGTGTGCTACACGACAAGCGTCTGACTCGTCGCCCTGATCGCAAAACACCATAGACTTCTCGCGATGACTCAAACGGCGGATCGAAAGAGAGGCATCGGCTTCGTTGTTGACTAGATTGCATATCAAACGTGCTTACCTTAAGATACAAGGAGGTACGGACATTGTCCGCGATAAGACCGCCGTTGAATCCTTCAGAAATGGACTTGGTAAGCGCACGTGATCGTCTCCTCTTTCTCTGGTTGCGGTCGCGCCTTTCCCAGCATTTCTCATCAAACCGCACTCCTCCTCACCTTTCTTCTGCATTGCCGAAACCGCGCCGAGTTTCCC